GATCCTTAAATGTATACCCTTTCTCTTAATCTTTTACTGATTTTCCTTTCATACCAATTTGTTTGCAAAATAGACTTCTCAGTTTATTTCCCCAGAATATCTCAGAATTTCTCAGAATATCAAAGTATCTTCTGAGAAACATGAGAATACTTATATTCCTTTCCTGGAACGTGTTACTTAGCTATAATGTTCTAGAAATATATATATAACGTTTACAATTGGGGGCTGGAGTGATAGTAGAGTAGGCAGGGTGCTTGCCTTGCATTCAGCTAAATGGGGTTTATCCCTGGTACCACATACGGTTCCATGAACACTGCCAGGGGTAATTCCTGAACGGAGCCAGGAATATGTCCAAAACCAAGAACTAAGAGAATATATATTATGTTTATAATTAAATAGTAATTAGTCATGAACAACATGAGAACTGGTTTTAGTGTTCTATTTGAACTTCTGAAGAGATTAATGGAAGAGTCTTCCCCAGATGTCAGAAGCAGGACACTTGCAGTCACCTTTATATGAACTATATCCCGGCGACTCTGTAATTTATCATCCAAACTAGGCCATTTATGAGTGAAAAAAGTTTGTAATTATTCTAGGGCAACTTGTATAAATAAATGCCAACCTAGAAAAACCTCAGTATATATTTGTTTACCCTATGTTTGTAAAGCAATTTATATGAACTGATATTCTATAGCCATTTATCATTTCTCTAAAAGTAGAAAGATGCATTATTTTCATGACTAAATGGCCAAGCAAACCTCATATTTAACTTATCATGTAATTAACATTAATTCAAAACTTTCACTTTTATTTTAAGAAATCTACTCATTGAAGTGCTTCTCTAAATATGATACTGTATTATTTACCTAAATTTATTTGTTAAAATGATTCAGATAATTTCCCATAGTCAGACATAAAATCAAACCAACCCTGAAATGTGATTATGTGACTTTCTTCATTAGTTACAGGGATTAATTAAATAGTGATAAGCAGAAGACTGAAAATCAGATATCCATAGAGAATGAGAATTGCAAGAGGTTTTTAGTGAGGTTGGAATCAGGTCCCAGTAGATCTCAGAACTACTCCTAGTTCTGTATTCAGAGATCCCAGTGGTTATGTAGAACCATATGCAATATTGGAAATTCAAACTGGGATTGGTCATGTGCAGAGCAATCACCATAACCCTCGAACTATCTCTCTGGTTGAATTATATGAGATTTTAAAAAGAAACATCTGTGAAAAAGAAATGGGAGGAAAGAGAAGTAAACAGAAATATTTCCAACTGTGCTGCAAGTTTGACACCTTTGAAAGTATGGAGGACAGGGGGAAGTTTGAATCAAGAGTCTCAGATTGCTGACATATCTAAGCCAGCTTGGTCTAGGCTAATGAAAATTTTCTTGCACAAACTACTTTTCAAAGGTCCTAAATGGTTCTGCAGAATTATGTCCACTGTGTTCAGATTTTCCTGAAAGCAGCCAGGGAAAGCCAGGTCTGGGCCAGTTACATTGCTGGATCAGAGTTGAAAACTAGACCATCAACTATGTTCCACACATCAAGAGAAAGAATGAAAAATTTTCAAAGCTGTGCTAATAATTTTCCCGAGGACAAAATACTGCTTCTCTCTACAAAAGTTCTATATAATAGTATTTTAATTATTATTAATGACAGTAATTTTTAGGCCAATGTTTATGTTTGGTAGTATATTATAAAATTATACAAAGATATTTTAAAATTATTCTACGTAATTATTTTATCAATTCATATACAAAAGTAAAAATTTTCTATAACTCCTCTTATGTAGAATATTTTATATATTCATTATACTACTTTAATATTAAATATTTAGAAATTTACACATGTAATTTGTCAACAAATTTATTTTTCATCTAACATTAAATTATAAAAATTAACATTTTCATAGACTGTACAATTATGTGTGACTAGGTATTTCATTTGTATGTATATATATATGCATATATATATATATGTCACTGTCACTTTCCTCCCATTGTTCATCGATTTGCATGAGTGGGCCCAGTAACATCTTCATCATGAGACTTGTTACTGTGTTTGACATATAGAGTACATCATGGGGAGCTTGCCAGGCTTTGCCATGGGGGTGAGATACTCTCAGTAGCTTGCTGAGCTCTCCAAGAGGAATGGAAGAATCAAACCCGGCTCAGCCGGGATGGCTGTGGGCAAGGCAAACGCCCTAGTAAATAACTATAGCAAAGAGTTTATATGATAATGTTCATAGAGGAAGACATATGCTAACTTATCATTTTTTAATAAGACTGCAACTTGACATATTCAGGAATTGGCTAATGATATTCCTAAATAGCACATGGCTTTTAAAATTGTAGCTATTACATTTTCTAAAACATGTATTCATTTACTTATTTGTAATAAACATTTTGGGTGAGAGTGATAATACAGTGGGTAGGGTGTTTGCTTTCATGTGTCTGACTTGTGTTTGATCCCAGCACAACATAAGGTTCCCAGGGCCCTGCCATGAGTGATCCCTGAGCACATCGCCAGGAAGTACTGCTCAGTGCCCTCCTCCCAAAAAAGTACTATTATAAATAATGCTATCATAGTGTAATTATGTGTGAGAGGTTTTTAAAATCACCTGTTTTAACAGCTTTCTCCTTTATCAGAAAATAGTATTTGATTGAGAATGCAGTTATATTAGGTATTATATTTTCAAAACAACACAGTTGGAGTACTTAGTGTTTTTCTTATAAATAAATTAAAGCATTAAAGTTGAACACATACTAGAAACTATTTTTCATTAGATAGGCAGATTCCTTCACTGTCACTGTCCTCCCGTTGTTCATCGATTTGCTCGAGTGGGCCCAGTAACATCTCCATTGTGAGACTTGTTACTGTGTTTGGCATATTGAATATGTCACGAGTAGCTTGCCAGGCTTTGCCGTGTGGGTGAGATACTTGTGGTAGCTTGCCAGGCTCTCCGATTGGGGTGGAGGCCTTGAACCTGGGTCAGCCGAGTCAGTCACGTGCAAAGCAAATGCCTTGAACGCATTGAAGTCACATACGACAAAACAATCTAAATGAGCACTCATTAAAACCTGTTAACTAAATGTACCCCAGTATTTTGCAAAGGAATAAGTTATATGTATATTAAATTGAGATTTTGGGATAAATCTTCTCCTATACACTTGACTTAACCACATTAGTAGTTTATTTCTTGCTCAGGTTACATTGTCACTGCAGAAAAATTATGGCTCTGTCAACGTCTACACTTTGGGAATCAAGAAGCCTTTGCATGAGAATGACTGATCTGAAAACAATGGCAAGGAGATATGATGATCTATTTAATGAAATTGAATTTTATTCTCAGTAGTGATACCTGTCACATATATTCCATTAGTGAATGCAAATCACAGGACTACATTGGAATACAGAGGACAGATAATGCAATGTTGTAAAAAGGCACATGTTGGGTAACATAAACAAATTAAATGTTAATGGAATAAAAAGTATATGTCTCTGAAAGGAGAAAGGGGAGAAATAGAATAATATTGCACTTTTTCCTTATGCTAAATATTATTAGGATTATTGTGAATATACTATAAAGGAAAAATACATTAAAGTATTCATATATGACATCTGTAGCACTGTAACACTGCCCTACCACTGTTCATCGATTTGCTCGAGCGGGCACCAGTAACGTATCCATTGTGGGACTTGTCACTGTTTATGGCATATCGAATATGCCACGGGGAGCTTGCCAGGCTCTGCCGTGCGGGTGGGATACTTTTGGTAGTTTGCAGGGCTCTCTCAGAGGGATGGAGGAACCGAACTCGGTGGGCCGTGTGCAGAGCAAATGCCCTACCTGTGCTGTCGCTCCAGCCCTGTATTATATCCACATTAAGTATAAATATGATTATGGGGCCAGGGAATTAGTAAGGGGAAATGCACTTGTGTATGTGGCTTACACTAGTCTGATCCCCAGAACCACATATGGTCCCCAAGTAAATGATGTTATCCCTTGAGTACAGAGCGAGGAGTAAACATTGTTCACTGCCAAGTATGGCCCCCCAAACAAAACATGCAAAAAGTGATAGATAGGGAGGATGAATCCAGTTTAAACCTACAGGGCTAATCATCTTGCTATGTATAGAGATATTAGCTATGCTGTATGTTTAAAGTTATATAGTATATAATTTATATCTCAAGAAAACTGGAAAAATAATGAGAATAAACATAGGAACTGCATTAGCTAAGATTTTAAGGACTAAAGATAAAATATATCTGAATAAACAGTGTAGAAATATCAACTCAAGATATTAAGACATTTCATATTATGACTCAAGGGATGTCGTCTCTAAAATATATATAATGATTAGAGAATGTCTTGACTTGACTGCCTCATAAGTGTTTAGTCTTTGTCCACTTTTCATTTGAAGTGTATTATTTACTAGTTTAATTATAGGTTTTTGACTTGAGGAGGATTATGTTCAAAAGAAAATGAGCTTGTTTATGAGTCCTAAAGAACAAAATTGGTTTTGCTTTTGATGAGTTGTAGGGGAATAACTCTATTGCTTCAGTTTCTACCACAAGTGATGAGTAGGAACATTCGTATACTTATAATAGGAATGTAGTAGGAAGCATTAGTTGCAGAGTCAGATTTTCATTCTGTTTTTGTAATAAACATGTATTGTGCACTAGTTAGTCCCTTAGTGACTTCTTGTTTACGGAATAAAAGGCAACCAAGTGCATTATATATAAGATGATGTTATATATAATGTTATATATATAAGATAATGTTATATAGAGTTCTTAAAATATCTGGGTTCTTCTGACTTATAAAAAATAAACAGAGATGTTTTCAGTATTTGTTTCTTTTTTTTCCCCCCAAACATTTATTCAGGATCAAATCTTATTATTATTTAAATCTTTTCTGTACAGGAACTGTAATACAAGAATAAGCACAAATATTTTAGCCACTTTATAATCGTTTTGTTTTTATTATTTAGTGTTGATAAAACAGATGATGAAGATGATGAGGATTTAACAGTGAACAAAACTTGGGTCTTAGCACCTAAAATTCATGAAGGAGATATAACACAAATTCTCAACTCACTGCTTCAAGGCTATGATAATAAACTTCGCCCAGATATAGGAGGTATGTTTAAATCATTCTGAGATTTTTGTGAACACGAAAACTGTCTTTGGGGATAAGTTTTAAATTATAGATCTATTATTGCATGATGGATTTGATAGTTATTAGTTGATAGTATTGTTGACTTTAGTGATAAAAATTAATATTGAAATAGAACTATTAAATAATTAGAATACCACTTTTTATTTTGGCAGTACTTTGATTACATTTCTTCTGGCTCAGAAACTTAACAAAAATAATGCATGCTATGTTCATATTTCTTTGTTGAATGCCAATATGGTTAGTTTCTCAGATTTGGTTTGTTTGACAAACTTGAAATTTTATAGAATATTATCCAGTTTCTGTTTTCTTTCTTATGTACCTAGAAGTGAGATTGCTAGGCAGACTGGTATTTCTATTTCCAAAAACATCTTGGGATGTCTTAAAATTTGTGATTATAGTTAACAGTCTTATAATTTATACCTCAAAGTTTCTTAAAGAGTATATTTTAAATGTTCTCACTACAAAATCAAGTAGAAATTTTATGATGTGGCTTGTGGTGTTAACTTCAAATACAGTAGTGGTCTTTATATTACAGTATATGACTATTTCAAGTTAAAATGAAGTAGAGTGGAAGAGGTTCAGCCTGTCTCACTGATAAGAAAGGGAGAGAAATAAGACAGTAGACATGGGGATATCTATGGTACTATTTATTTATATTAGAAGAACCAATACTAAGTTTCCCCAATCTGGAACCAAGATGATTCAGAAAGTAATAAAAACATACTCTTCTTCAGAAACCAAAAATGATACCGCAAGTACTGTAGAAGATTCACTAATTTTTTTTTCATATAAATTTAGTTGTCTTCTTTTTTTCCAGAAAAGCTCCTCATAACATTATACCTCTTGTAGCCTTGTTGAAGTCAGCCAGTCCCATTAAGGATATAAAATGTTGGACCTGCATGTACTGAAAAAGGTTTTTTGGTTCTGAATCAAGTAGTTTGATCCTTGGGACAAGTTTTAACTAGTGATTAACACCTTCCCCCTTTTATAAAATATATTTCCATTTATGCGTGAACCTGATGAAAATGTATAAAGTATATAAAAATGTTTAAAAATGCTCACAAGTAGAAGGTGCCAGTAAATCAGTAAGTACCAATTCACGAAGTAACAAAAAATAGCTATTCTTTGTCAGATGCATGATATATGAGTATTTTCTGTCACTTGGTAGGCTGTTTTTTTGTTTAGTAATAGTTTATTTCAAAGCAAAGTTATTTTTTAGTTTGACGTGATCACATTTTCTTATATTCACTTTTGTTTTTCTTGTGGATGGAGTTGAGTCACCAAGGTAACATTGAAGCTGTTATAACAAAGTGTTTTGACTATGTTATCTTTGATATAACAAAGGATTTATTTTAAGATTTTTAATGTACCTTTAAAGTCTTCATGGTATTTCTATAGAGACCTAATTTTATTCTATTTCACGTTATCCAGTTTTCATGATATTTAAAGTTTTCTTTTCTCTAAGATATGGTCTTAGCCCTTTTGTTGTAATATATAAGTATATGTGTATATATATATATATACACATATATATATGTATATGTAGCACTGTCTGTAGCACTGTCCTCCCATTGTTCATCAATTTTGCTCAAGCGGGAGCCAGTAATATCTCACAATAAATTGCGAGATTTGTTGTTACTGTTACTGTTTTTGGCATATCAAATATGTCACGGGTAGCTTACCTGATATATATATATATATATATATATATATAGAGAGAGAGAGAGAGAGAGAGTCCACACTGCAAAGCCTGGCAGGCTACCCGTCATGTATTCGATATGCCAAACACAGTAACAACAAGTTTCACAATGGAGTCGTTACTGGGCCCATTCTAGCATATCAATGAACAATGTGAGGACAGTGCTACAGCGCTATCTCTTTCTCTCTCTCTCTCTCTCTCTCTCTCTCTTTATATATATATAGATAGATAGATAGATGATAGATAGATATGAGTCTGTCTCTTTATATTTATTTATTTATTTTATTAGTGAAACACCATGAGGCACAGTTATAGACTTACAAATTTTTGTGCTTGAGTTACAGTTATACAATGGTCAAGTACCTATCCCTCAACCAGTATCCATCCTCTACCACCACGGGTCCCAGCATCCCTCCCACCCCCCGTTCCCCCATCGCACCCTGACTCTGTGGCAGGGCATTCCCTTTTGTTCTCTCTCTCTCCTTTCGGGTCTTGTGGTTTGCAAGAGAGGCATTGAGTGGCAGTCATGTTTGGTCTATAGTCTACTTTCAGCGTGCTTCTCCCATCCTGGGAGGATCCTCCCAAAACCCTTTATTTGGTGCTCCCTTCTCTATCTGAGCTTCCTTTTCCCCTAGCACATGTGGCTGGCCTTCAAGTCATGGAGCAAAATTCTTGGTACTAATCTCCGCCACTCCTGGGTGTTAGTCTCCCATTTTGTTGCTTTATGTTCCCCAGATGAATGCAATCTTTCTGTGTCTATCCCTTTCTTTCTGACTCATTTCACTTAACATGATACTTTCCATGTAGTACCACTTGTATGTAAATTTCATGACTTCATCTTTTCTAAAAGCTAAATAGTACTCCATTGTGTAAATGTACCAGAGTTTCTTTAACCAGTCATCTGTTCTTGGGCACTCAGGTTTTTTCCAGATTCTGGCTATCGTAAAGAGTGCTGCATTGAATAAACAATTGCAGATGTCACTTCGACTATACTTTTTTGCCTCTTGGGATATATTCCCAGGAGTGGTATTGCTGGGTCAAATGGGAGATCAAATTCTAATTTTTTGAGAATCGTCCATGCTGTTTTCCAAAAGGGTTGGACCAGTCGGCATTCCCACTAGCAGTGAAGGAGGGTCCCTTTTTCGCCATATCCGCACCAGCACCGGTTACTTTTGTTCTTTTGGAAGTAGTCCAGTCTCTGTGGTGTGAAATGATATCTCATTGTTGTTTTGATCTGCATTTCCCTGATGATTAATGATGTAGAGCATTTTCTCATGTGCCTTTTTGCCATTCGGATTTCTTCTTTGTGAAAATTTCTGTTCATTTTCTCGTCCCATTTTTTGATGGGGTTGGGTGGTTTCTTCTTGTGGAATTGAACTAGTACCTTGGATATCCTTGATATCAACCCATTGTCGGATGTGTATTTGGTGAATATTCTTTCCAATTCTGTAGACTGTCTTTGAATTTTGGTCACTGTTTCTTTGGAGGTGCAGAAGCTTCTTAGTTTAAGATAGTCCCATTTGTCTATTTCTGTTTTCACTTGTTTGGCCAGTGGTGTGACATCTTTGAAGATACCATTAGCTTCAATATCATGGAGGGTTTTGCCAACTTTTTTCTCAATGTACCTTATGGATTCCGGTCTGATGTTGAGGTCTTTAATCCACTTAGATCTTACTTTTGTACATGGAGTTAGACAGAGATCTGAGCCCATTTTTTGCATGTAGCTGTCCAGTTTTTACAGCACAATTTGTTAAAGAGGCTTTCCCTGCTCCACTTCACTTTTCTTGCCCCCTTATTGAATATTAGATGCTCATATGCTTGGGGGGAGATGTCAATATATTCAACCCTGTTCCATTGGTCTACAGCTCTGCTTTGTTCCAGTACCATGCTGTTTTAATTATTATTGCCTTGTAGTAGAGTTTGAAGTTAGGGAGGTTGATTCCTCCCATTTTCTTTTTCCAAGAATTGCTTTAGCTATTTGTGGGGGCTTATTGTTCCATATGAATTTCATGAGTGTTTGCTTCACTTCTTTGAAGAGTGTCATGGGTATCCTAATAGGGATCACATTGAATTTGTACAGTGCTTTGGGAAGTATTGCCATTTATACAATGTTAATTCTCCCAATCCATGAACAGGGGATATTTTTACATTTCCTCGTATCCTCTTTTATTTCCTGAAGTAGCGTTTCGTAGTTTTCTTTGTACAGGTCCTTTACTTCCTTAGTTAAGGTGATTCCTAGGTACTTTATTTTCTGGGGCACAATTGTGAATGGGATTGTTTTCTTCATGTCACTTTCTTCTCTTTCACTATTTGCGTATAGGAAAACCATGGATTTTTGGGTATTGATTTTATAGCCTGCCACTTCACTATGCAGGTCTATTGTTTCTAGGAGTTTCTTGGTAGAGGTTTTAGGGTTCTCTAGGTATAGTATCATACCATCTGTGAATAGTGAGAGTTTGATTTCTTTCTTCCCTACCTGAATGCCCTTAATATCTTTTTCTTGCCTAATTGCTATTGCAAGTACTTCCAGTGCTATATTGAACAGTAGTGGAGAGAGTTGGCCTCCTTGTCTCTTCCCTGATCTTAGGGGAAAGGCTCTCAGATTTTCCCCATTGAGGATGATGTTTGCTGTAGGCTTGTGGTACATGGCTTTACTGTATTGAGGAAAAACCCCTCTATCCCCATTTTAGAGAGGGTTTTCATCATAAATGGGTGCTGGATCTTGTCAATTTCTTTCTCTGCATCTATTGATATGATCATTTGGTTTTTATCTTTTATTGTTATGATGGATTATGTTGATTGATTTCTGAATGTAGAACCATCCTGCTTCCCCAGGATGTATCCCACTTGGTCATGGTGTATGATCTTTTTGATTTCATTTCATTTCATTTCATCATCCTGTTAATCGTCGATTGCCTCGAGCAGGCCCCAGTAACGTCTCTTTCATCCTAGCCTGAGATTATATTCACGGCTCTTTAGGAGAATGAGACCCATCATTGTTACTGGTATTTGGCATATTTGGTAGGCCACGGGGAGTTTGCCAGACTCTGCCCTGTGGGCAGGCTACATTCGATAGCCTGCAAGTTTGTCCAAAGTATGAATGAGATAATAAGATGTCGCGCAGCCACGAATGCGGCCGCGCGGTTCCGGGATCTGGATTTTATAGTCTCTATAGTCCGTGTAATCCCATCAGCGGCCAAGACTCAGAGACTATAAAATCCAGATCTTTTTGATGAGTTGTTAAATTCTATTTGCTAGTATT